GCTGGTCTTGAACTCCTGACATCGTGATCCATCTGCCTCGGCCTCCCAAAGTGTTGGGATTACAAGCGTGAGCCACCGCGCCCCGCTTGCTCAAAACTTAAAAAAAAATTTAACCAAGTCCGTTATCTTTTCTGCCAGCCTCTTAATTGCTAGTTTCCCTCAGGATTCAGTCCTCAATCCTTTTCCTTTTTAAAATTTTACTCTTTCTCCTGGGTTTCAGCCATCATGACAATGACTACTTTATTTTCATCTACTACCTATAGACCATTAACAAACTGTAGCATGCATATGTCAAGCTGTATGAACATATGCATAGGGGGGAAATGGATTATATTTAGAATGATTTTCTATTAACTCCAATCCTTTCTTTCAAAATTCTAGACTAGGGGCGGTGGTTCACACCTGTATTCCCAGTACTTTTGGAGGCCAAGGCAGGTGGATGACTTGAGGTCAGGAGTTTGAGACCAGCCTGACCAATATGGTAAAACCCCATCTATACTAAAAATACAAAAATCCATCTGGCATGTTGACATGTGCCTGTAATCCCAGCTACTGGGGAGGCTGAGGCAGGAGAATCACTGGAACATGGAGGCAGAGGCTGCAGTGAGCCGAGATAGCACAGAGTGAGACTCCATCTCAAAAAAGAAAAGAAAAATTCTAGATTATCACCGAAGTGCATGCCAAGAATTATTTTATAAATATTTCTTGATTCCTTTTGCCTTTGCTATCTGCTATGTTTTCTTTCTAGAATAGGTACTAAAATATTCATTCAGCACTTAATATGTGTGAGGTATTATGCTAAATGTTTTACATATTCATATATTATTTAATTATCTTAAAAATTATAGTGAGTAGTGATTATCATTGTCCTTATTTTCGTATTTTTAGTAGAGATGGGGTTTGACCATGTTGGCCAGGCTGGTCTGAATTCTTGACCTCAGGTGATCCCTCTGCCTCAGCCTGCCAAAGTGCTAGGATTACAAGTGTGAGCCACCACATCCAGCCTATTGTCCTTATTTTCAAAGATGAGTAAACTGAAGCTCAGAGCAGCTTAAGTAATCTACTCAAGGGCACTGGCTGGTCACCTGGACTGTACTTCCCCTGCAATCTTTACCTGGCTCATCCCTGTAAGTCTTATCTTTCACTATCCATCATATGTGCCACCTATTTCAGGAGGTTTCTTTACAACAAACCCATCTCACACAATTTGGATTACATAACTATCTCCCCCCAGTTATGGAATGTACTTTACAAATCACTCTTTTAAGTATATGTTAAATGAATAAATAAGCCCTCTATTCGTCATTTAATATTTAAGAGTTGGTTATATGGAAGGACTGTAAGACATGTTTATCACTAAAATTAAAAGAATTACATAAAATTAGTCAATTAGAAATTCTAACTATTAGTTCACTTCTTTGAGCCCAAACAACTAATGATGATGCTGAAAAACTTCAGTTTTTGGTCTTTTAACACTGGAGATCAAATATTATGCTATAATTTGCTGAAGTAACAAAACCCTTGTGAGGCTTCATGGAGGCTTTGATTTTCTGATAGGATTACATGTCTCTTTCAAAGTTAATACGCTTAAGCAAGAGTGCCCAATTCTATTAGGTTATATACATGATCTATCCCATTAAAGTCAAATGGTACAGAGCAAAGGACATTAACATACAAAATAACACAGGCAGATTTAACTAACTGTTTTTGAATTACTATGATGTGGACAAAACAATTAGTCCCTCAAAGCCTTAATAGTTCCTTACTTATCTGCAAATGAGAAAATTAGAGGATAGGAAAATCAGGCCAGGTATGATGGCTCATGCTTGTAATCCCAGCGCTTTGGGAGGATGAGGTGGGCAGAATGCTTGTGCCCAGGAGCTCAAGACCAGCCTGGTCAACATGGCAAAACTGCTTCTCTACAAAAGAACTTTAAAAAAATTACCTAAGCATGGTGATGTGCCTATAGTTCCACCTACTCAAGAAGCTGAGGTCTGAGGCTGTTTTAGCCTTCTACAGTGAGCCAGGATCGTGCCACTGCACTTCAGCCTGGGCAACAGAGTAAGATCCTGTATCCAAAAAAGAAAAGAGAAAAAGAGAAGAAAAATCTTTTTTTTTTTGAGACTGAGTCTCACTCTGTTACCCAGAGTGCAGTGGTGTGATCTCAGCTCACTGTGAACTCCGCCTCCCAGGCTGGGATTACAGGCATGCACCACCATGCCTGGCTAATTTTTTCTAGTAGAGATGGGGTTTCACCATATTGGCCAGGCTGGTCTTCAACTCCTGACCTTGTGATCTGCCTGCCTCGGCCTCCCAAAGTGCTGGGATTAAAGGGATGAGCCACCACGCCCGGTCAGAAAAGAAAATCTTAATAAAAAACGGCTGGGTGTGGTGGCTCACGCCTATAATCCCAGCAATTTTGGAGGCCGAAGTGGGAGGATCGCCTGGGTCCAGGAGTTTGAGACCGGCCCAGAGAACATGGCAAAACCCTGTCTCTACCAAAACAAACAAACAAACAAACAAAACACCCCCACAAAATTAGCCAGGTGTGGTAGCATGTGCCTGTGGTCCCAGCTACTTAGGAGGCTGAGGGAAGAGGATCACCTGAGCCCAGGAGGTTGAGGCTACAGTGAGCTATGATCATGCCACTGTACTCAAGCGTGGGAGACACAGCAAGACCTTGTTTTAAAAAGAAAAAAAAAGATGAAAAAGATATACAAAAGTAAATTTTGTTGATTTTATTTTATATGGTGAGAGATGAGAGATAGGGGTCTAGTTTTAACAAAATAAAAAACACCAAACAAAAAATCAAAACCACACACACACATACACACAAAAAATGCAATTTAAAAATGGGAAAATATCTGAACAGACATTTCTCAAAAGAAGACATAAAAGTAGCCAACGGGTATATGAAGAAATGTTTAACATCATTAATCATTAGAGAAATGCAAATGAAAACCAAAAGGAGAAACATTACCTCAGTTAAAATGGCTTTTTATCAACAAGACAGGGAATAACAGATGCCACCAAGGATGTGGAGAAAAGTGAACCCTCGTACACTGTTGGTGGGAATGTAAATTAGCATAGCTACTATGGAAAACTGCATGAAGGTTCTTCAAAAAACTAAAAACAGATCTGCCGTATGATCTAGTAATTCCACTACTGGGTACGTATTTTTTATAAAGGAAATTAATATATGGAAGAGATATCGGCACTCCTATGTTTATTGTGTCACTATTCACAACAGCCAAATATGGAATCAACCTAAGTGCCCATCAATACATGAAGAAAGAAAATGAGGTATATATGTACAATGAAGAATCATTCAGCCATAAAAAAGAACGAAATCCTGCCATTCGCAGCAACACATATGGAAATTGAGCTTATTATGTTAAATGAAACAAGCCAAGAACGAAAAAACAAATAATTGCATATTCTCAGTCACAGGTGGGAGCTAAAAATATGGGCCTCATGATGACAGAGTAGACTGGTGGTTACCAGAAGCTGGGAAAGGGGCAACGAAGAGAGGTTAATTAATAGATATAACAGTGTTTTAGAGATTGGTAGAGTGACTACAGTTTACTAGCTAGAAGAGAATTTCAATATTTCTAGCATAAAGATGAATATTTAAGGTGATGTATATCCCCATTACACTGATCTGATCTTCACAAATTGTATGAATTTATTAAATTATTAGATATAGCCTGAATATATGTATGTTTATTATGTTATGGGCTGACATGTGTTTCTCCCAAATTAATATGAATTCTAATCCCCAGTATCTCAGAATGTGACTGCAGTTAGAGATAGGGCCTTTAAAGAGACAATCAAGGTAAAATAAGATTGAATGGGTGGGGCCTAATCCAATATGATTATTGTTCTTATAACAGATTAGGACAAATATGCTGGGTGCACGGAGAAAAGACCACAAGAGGACACAGTGAGAAGGAAGCCATCTGCAAACGAAGGTGAGAGGCTTCAGGAAAAAAAATAAAAATTGCTGATATCTTGGATCTCAGGCTTACACCTCCAGAATTGTGAGAAAAGAAATTTCTTTTTTTTAGGCTAGCCACTTTGGGATATTTTATTATGAAAGCCCTAGCAAATGAATACAATCAGCATTTTAATACAGTCACATCAGTGATTCACCTAAGGTGAAATATACAGTAAAGCTTGGGCACTGGAACTGATCTCTGAATTCTAGGCTGTTTGGAAAAAGAACCAATAAGTGCTGCATAGTAACCCAATGTGGAAAGATATATAACTTATCTACTGGAAAAATGATTAATGCAAGATAAAAGCATTACCAGAAGTTTGCAGTAGGAAATCATTAAAAACAACAGAAAAGTCTGAAATCATGAGAATACGTAATAAAAAAATCAATAGCTAATGTCTATGATGCCAGGCTGCTTACCTTTTATATGCTATCTTGAATTAACACAATCATCCAACAAGATTTTATGCCCATATTAAAGTTGAAAATAAATGAAAATTCAAAGACTTTTTCCAAAGCCACAAAGTAGACTTATGTTTTGAAACCAAATTTGTCTCAAGACAATCCTGTCCTCTTTCCAATAAACCATTCTGTTCTCACACATCAAATGAACAGTTACCACTATACTACACAATTCTGTAGTAATATATACTACAGAATATTATGGGGCCATTAAAATGCTTAAGAAAACTCAGAGGTTGGTCAACAGCCACACAGATCTAAAACATTCCTTTCTCTATCTTTCTCTTTTTTCTAAGTTTTCTTTAATGAGAATACGTAAGCTAAAGATAAACATAAAAACCCTTTAAAAACAAAAAGCATTAAATAAAGCCAAAGATCATAAAACAAGCAGGCTTTCCCTTTAACTTGAATGATGTAACACCCCTGTGATTAAAAAGAGACATACAGAGGTTCTTAGGTATCCTTAGAGGCCTAGAATTTAAATTAACAACACTGAAGTTTCAGATTATCTATTTTTGAGTGAATATACTTCCTAGCTTACCTTATGGCTTCTGAATCAATGTGCACAGGTGCGATTCTTTCCAACAGAAATTTGACCATCTCTAGAAAAGGATTTGTTGGTTGCTTAGGATTTGCAAGTTTCCGGGCTATTTCCCTCTATAGAAAGAAAAGAGTTTTACCAAGTGTGATTTGCTTTCACATTTTTCAAAAGGAAAATAACTGTAGGCCAAGAAAAGGAACTGAAATATTCAAAATCAACATAAGTGAGAATTTTCTGCTCTAAACCCTAGCTTAAATTTTTACACCCACTGAGCAATCACTGCAAAATCTGGACAGCGGAGAAAAAAAGTGGATGATGTCGTTTCTGAGTGAACGCAGTCTTACCTCACAGTTCTTCAATGAAATTATTGTTTAATATAGCAACCTTTTTCTGTCACCAGGCTAGGGTGCAGTGGCGTAATCTCGGCTCACTGCAGCCTCCACTTCCTGGGTTCAAGTGATTGTCCTGCCTCAGTCTCCCGAGTAGCTGGGATTACAGGTAGGTGCCACCATGCCCAGCTAATTTTTGTAGACAAGGTTTCACCACGTTGGCCAGGCTGATCTTGAACTCCTAACCTCAAGTGATCCCCCTGCCTCGGCCTCCCAAACTGTTGGGATTACAGGTGTAAGCCACCGTGCCTGGCCTATCGCAACCTTTTTAATGCTCTAATTATGAATGTAAATGATTTGTACTTTTATGGGTATGCTTTTTTGGTTTTGTTTCATAATTTGACAGAATATTGTGTTTTGTTTCAGTTAACTTTTTTTTTTTTTTGAGATGGAGTCTTGCTGTCACCCAGGCTGGAGTGCAATGGCACAATCTTGGCTCACTGCAACTTCTGCCTCTTGGGTTCAAGCACCTCTCCTGCCTCAGTCTCCATAGTAGCTGGGATTACAGGTATGTGCCACCACACCTAGCTATTTTTTGTACTGTTAGTAGACATGGAGTTTCGCCATGTCGGTCAGGCTGGTCTTGAACTCCTGGACCTCAGATGATCTACCAGCCTTGGGCTCCCAAAGTGCTGGGATTACAGGCATAAAGCCACCATACCTGGCCAGTTAATTTGTTTTTAAAAGTAGATATTCATACATATATAAATATTTGCAAAAGTTTTCAGTTCTGAAAAAACACAGGTGAAGTATAAATGAGAACCCTGTACACCCCTAATATTTATAATTTAGATATATAATTATGAAAGACTGATAGATGACCCCAATAATAAAAGTAACTCTCAGCCAGGCATGGTAGCTCACACCTGTAATCAAAGTACTTTGGGAGGCTAAGGCAGGTGGATTGCCTGAGCTCAAGAGTTTAAGACCAGTCTGAGAAACATGGCAAAACCCTGTTCCTACCAAAGAATACAAAAAATTAGCCAGGCGTGACGGCACTCACCTGTGGTCCCAGCTACTCAGGAGGCTATGGTGGGGGGATCACTTGAGCCTGCTAGGTGGAGGTTGCAGTGACCACCTGAGATTGCATGGCTGCATAGACCCTGTCTCAAAAAACAACAACAACAAAAAAGTAACTATTCATTTAAACTCAAAGACTATGGTATTAGGCCAGGTGCAGTGGCTCATGCCTGTAATCCCAGTATTCTGGGAGGCCAAGGCAGGTGGATCATTGGTCAGGAGTTCGAGACCAGCCTGACCAACATGCTGAAACCCTGTCTCTACTAAAAATACAAAAATTAGCAGAGCATGGTGATGCATGCCTGTAATCCCAGCTACTCAGGAGGCTGAGGCACAAGAATCACTTGAACCTGGGAGGCAGAGGTTGCAGTGAGCCAAGATCGCACAACTGCACTCCAGCCTGGGTGACAGAGCAAGACTCCATCTTGAAAAAAAGAAAAAGAAAAAAATCTTCTTTTAAAAAGGTATTCTTTCATGTGCACACTTATCTTTGTTACACAATTACTGTTATGGCTACTAAAAATAAATTAGAAGGGAATTTAATATTATCAATATTTGTTGCAGCTGGAATCAGTAATGTAGAAAAGGATATAGCAGTTTCTTACAAGAAGGAACTTCCAAAGTTTTAACTTTCATATTCAAGTGAGATGTGCATTACATTCATTGAATTATAAAAAGATATAACTAAACAAAAACACGGCTGAGGCAGGAGGATCGCTTGAGTTCAGGGGTTTGAGACCGGCCTGGGTAATATAGTGAGATCTCATCTCTACAAAAAATCAAAAAATTAGCTGGGAATGGTGGCACACACCTGTAGCCCCAGCTACTTGAGAGGTTAAGGTAGGAGGATCACTTGAGCCCAGGCGGTTGAAGATGTAATGAACTATCATCACATCACTGCACTCCACAGACTGGGCAACACAGTGAGACGCTGTCTCAAAACACACACACACACACACCCCTCAACACTTCTGAACACAACTGCTAAGGCACTGTCTTCTTCCCTAAATCATCTCCCCTGACATCCAGTCAGCCAATCTAGAAATAAAGCAGTCATTCTTCGCACAGTGGTCTAATTCCTATTTATCCTTTAAAATTCAACTTAGGAGTCACTTATTCTAGAAGAAGTAATTCCTGGACCTATTTCCATCCCTGCTTGGGATGAGTAATGCTCCTTTATTTTACCAAAGCACACAATTCCATAAAAATATTTATTGGCCTCTGTCACTTATTCTGTAAGCTCCATGAGAATCTGTGTATTATAAAATGTATTAAATCATGCAGTGAATTATAACGGTGTGTGCTTGATCAAAAAAGAAAATAGTATTTGGACTTCTGAAGATACAATGAATATCCACATAATTAGGTAGAGAAGGGTTTTTATAAGTGTAGTCCACAAATTATTCATGTTGAGACTTGGTTAAAAGATAGATTTATGCTGGGCGCGGTGGCTCACGCCTGTAGTCTCAGTACTTTGAGAGGCTGAGACGGGAGGAACACCTGAGGTCAGGAGTTCAAGACGAGCCTGGCTAACATGGTGAAATCCCGTCTTTAAAAAAAAAAAAAAAGATGGATTCACGATCCTACGTCACACCTATTTTAAAGATCCTTACTCTTTGTAGTGTAAGACCTAAAAGAACGACCATTTATTGAAACCCTGCAGTCAGTGCAGGGAGGCCCTGTATAAAGCCACATATAAAATTTCATTTTACTTTATTCTTTTAAAAATCCTATGAGGGTGATAATATTTATAGGTGAAGAAAATGAATAAGGAGGCTTGAAAATACTGAGTAACTTACTAAAGGTCACATCGGTATAGCCGATATTCAAACTGAGGACTGTTTCATTAAATGCTGAATAAGCAAGCTTCCTGGAAAATATTAAAATTGGGGGACCACTGTCATAGATGGGCAATGAAGCATAAACTAGGAGGCGCAGCTGAAGCTATGGTAAATATGTGGTCCCTCTCTAGCATCAAGGTGTAGAAACCTAAAACTTGAATTCTAAAAGGAAAATATATCCATATATCACATTTCAATTCCACTGCTTTCTTTCATTACATCCACCACCCCACATACAAATACACATGTCTCTGTTGATAATCTTTGCTCAAAGTACTTTTGCTAAGATGTTTCAGAAATAGAACTTGGACAAAGAGGAAGGAAAATATTAGATTTATATGCCTACTAACTCTCTTACCAAGTAATATCTACCTCTTGAGAAGTGAGATATGATTGTAATTTACAAAAATAAAGAGGTAGTGATAAATACACATTAGGGTGCAGAAAAGGAACTCTCAAGGATGGAGTGAAAGCTACATAGAATGAGAGAAACTAAATTTTATGGTTGCATATTTTACTTTATTCTTTTTTATCAGAACAGGAACAGGGTATCATCGAAAATATGTAAATAATATTCAGTAGCCCGGGGGGGGGGGCGGGGAGGACGAACTCATAGAAGTACTCTAACAGAGGTCGTTTCATGTGTCTAAAGAGTATTCTAAGTCTCACTTTACATATGAGAAGATATAGTTAAATAACATGCTCAATCACACATGCTAATATAAGAGTTAGGAAAGAAGGTATCATGAAACCATGCTCTTAACGCCGTATGGTCTTCATTTCTACCGTGCTGGTTCCTGACCTCAAGTGATCTGCCCACCTCAGCTTTCCAAAGTACTGGGACTATAGGAGTGAGCCACTGTGCCTGGCCTTTTCAAGCTATTTCATTGTATGATCTAATTATAATATTAGATTCTCTGCAGGACACAGTACTCTGGAACTAGAATTCTAAATGCCAAAGAAGTCAATGAAACTTTTAAGCGTTTTCAGCAAATTACACAGCTCAGAAGTGCAAAGGTTGTTGGGCATGGTGGCTGGGATCACTTGAGTCCAGGAGTTTGAGACCAGCCTGGGCAACATGTGAAACCCTATTTCCACTAAAAATACAAAAATTACTCAGGTATGATGGTGCATACCTGTAGTACCAGCTACCTGGGAGGCTGAGGCAGGATGATCACTTGAGCCTGAGATGCAGAGGTTACAGTGAGCTAAGATTGTGTCATTGCACTCTAGCCTGAGTGACAGAGAAAGACCCTTCTCAAAACAAGAAAAATATAACCAAGTAAATAAAATTTAAAAAAGAAGTACAAAGATTGAAGTAGTCTGGGCATTTGGCATGTCCACATTCCAAGCCCTGGGAGATGAGCCCACTCTTCTCTAACCTAAATTGGTTTCCTCCCCATGTACTCCTAATTATTGGTATTTGCAGATCTCTATGCTGAATAAATGATACTTGTTCCACGGAGCTAGACCTCTTTGTACATACATCCACTATAGTCTTTATCCTTTATAAGTTATTTTAAAACTAATCAACTTTAATCCTTTCTAGAACAAAGTTAGACATATATAAATTGAAATTAGGTTCTTTTATTTGACTCTGTAAGTCTGGTTCCAAGAACAGTACTTGACGTTTATGTGTAATATTGTAAGAAGGATTATTTATTTAAATCCAATAGGGCAGTGCAGAGCCATATATATGGAGAAATATATACCCCTACCCCCACACACAAAGAATTATGCATCACTCAATGGTAGAGACAGATTTTGAGAAATGTGCTGTTAAGGCAATTTCATCATGTGAACATCATAGAATGCATGCACACAAACCTAAATGGTATAGCTTACTACTTCTATGTTACGAAACTGTACAGCATGTTCCTATGCTGAATACTGCAGGGAACGGTCACAATATTTGTGTATTTAAACATTATCTAAACACAGAAAGGGTAAAAAGATGAAAACACAACATAAACCACATAATAAAAATGCTATATAAAAGATAAAAAACAGTACATCTACATATAGAGCACTTAGCATAAACAAAGCTTACAAGACTAGAAGTTGATCTGGGAAAGCCACTGAGTAAATGGTGAGTGAATGTGAAGGAACAGGACATTACTGTACACTTTAGAAATTACTGTAGACTTTATAAACACTGTACACTTAGGCAGCACTAAACTTACTTAAACATTTTTTCTTTCTTCAAAGATAAATTAGCCTTAGCTTTTTGTAATATTTTTACTTAATAAACTTCAAGGTTTTTTTAGCTTTTTAAAAATTTTTTGGGCCTTCTCTTCCCGATTCTTCCTGGAATTGGGAAAAGCTGGGTTGAGAGGGCAAAAAAAAAAAATTTCTTTTGGAGGCAGGATCTTGCTCTGTCACCCAGGCTGAAATGCAGTGGTGTGACCTTTGTCACTATAGGCTTAAACTCCTAGGCTCAAGTGATACAGTGATACTCCCATCTCAGCCTCTGGAGGAGGCAGGACTATAGGCGTGCACCACCACATGCAGCTAGTTTTTTTTAGTGTTCTGTAGAGGCAGGGTCTCGATATATTGCCCAGGTTGGTCTCAAACTCCTGGCTTCAAGTGATCCTCCTGCCTAGGCATCCCAAAGTGCCGGGATTACAGATGTTAGCCAATGTACTGGTGTTTTTTTTTGTTTTGTTTCTTTCTTTTTTTTTTTTTAGCTTTTTGACTCTATGCAATAAAACTTAGCTTAAAACACACATTTCACAGGTGTACACAAAATATTTTCTTTCCTTATATCCTTATTCTATTAGCTTATTATTATTGACTTCTTCCTATTAAACATTTTTATTCTATTAGCTTATTCCTATTAAAAATTTTCTTGGCTGGGAGTGGTGGCTCACACCTATAATCCCAACACGTTGCAGGGCCAAGGAGGGCAGATTTCTTGAGCTCAGGAGTTCCCTGTCTCTACAAAAAGTACAAAAATTAGCTGGGCATGGTGGCATGTGCCTGTAGTCCCAGCTACTCAGGAGACTGAAGTGGAAGGATCACTTGAATGCAGAAGGTTGTGTGGCTCGCACCTGTAATCCCACCACTTTGGGAGGCCAAGGCGGGTGGATTACCTGAGGTCGGGAGTTCAAGACCAGCCTGACCAACACAGTGAAACCCTGTCTCTACTAAAAACACAAAAATTAGCCATGTGCGGTGGTGCATGCCTATAATCTCAGCTACTTGGGAGGCTGAGGGATGAGAATCACCTGAACCCGGGAGGTGGAGGTTGCAGTGAGCTGAGATCACATCACTGCATTCTAGCCTCAGCCATAGCCTCTATTTCGAAAAAAAGAGAAGAAAAAAAAAAAAATCTTTTAGCAACCCTATGAGGTTGATTAAAGTCTACAGATCAGCAAAACAGGGCTCAAATAAATATACTGAATTACTTACGAAAGATCACACTGGTAATAAATGGTATGGTGGAAACCTATGACTCTCTCATAATATGCTGAATAAATGAGGCTGGGTACAGTGGCTCACAACTGTAATCTCAGTGTTTCAGGAGGCTGAGGTGAGATCACTTGAAGCTGAGAGTTTGAGGCCACCCTGGGAAACATAGAGACCCCTGTCTCCACAAAGGAAAAAAAGTTTTTTTGTTTTTTGTTTTTTGTTTTTTTTTGGGGAGACAGAGTTTCGCTCTTGTTATCCAGGCTGGAGTGCAATGGCGTGATCTCGGCTCACCACAACCTCCGCCTCCTGGGTTCAAGCAATTCTCCTGCCTCAGCCTCCTGAGTAGCTGGGATTACAGGCACACGCCACCATGCCCAGCTAATGTTTTGTAGTTTTAGTAGAGATGGGGTTTCACCATGTTGACCAGGATGGTCTCGATCTCTTGACCTCGTGATCCACCTGCCTCGGCCTCCCAAAGTGCTGGATTACAAGCGTGAGCCACCGCGCCCGGCCAAAAAAAAGTATTTTTTAAAGACAGTTTCACTCTTTCACCAGGCTGGTGTGCAGTGGCCTGATCTCAGCTCACTGCAAGCTTTGCCTCCTGGGTTCAAGGGATTCTCTTGCCTCAGCCTCCAGAGTAGCTGGCATGTACATCACACCCGGTAAATTTTTGTCTTTTTAGTAGAGACAGGGTTTCACCATGTTGGCTAGGCTGGTCTCGAACTCCCAACCTCAGGTGATCCACCCACCTCAGCCTCCGAAAGTGCTGGGATTACAGGTGCAAGCCACCATGCCAGGCCTATAAAAAATTTAAAAACTTAGTCGATGTGGATGCATGTGTCAGTATCTAGCTATGTGGAAGGCTGAGGTACAGGATCACTTGAGCACAGTTTAAGGCTACAGTAAACTATGACTGTGACACTGTACTCTATGCTGGATGACAAAGCAAGACTATCTCAGGAAACAAACAAAAAAAAAGCCGAATAAATGAAGATTTCCCTCCTGATAGCTTCAAGAATACTGTTTTATATGAAATGAGTTCAAGAGTAGAATGAAGACAAAAGTCTAGATAGGAATTTATCTGTAAATGAAAACAGATATATGGCAATGTTACTGCTGCTAATTTACTGACAAGGATTGTTTCCATTCTAATACATGAAAGAAGGAAATGCATGTGCACACAAGCATTCAGAAAATACTTAACAGTTACTCAATGAATGTCTACTAAGTACAAAGTACTTTATCTTGTAAAATTCCTAAGACCAATCTCCCTGGCTTAGTTCTGTAGCATTTTCCTGGAATGTGGCTGGAGAGTGAATGGCAGATACAGAATTAACTTGACAACAGAGTAACTGAGAGTAATTACTCTCAATTAAATTTGTGTAAATTTAACAATAATCACTCTCAGTTAAATTTACACAAATCACTCTGTGTATAACAGGCTTTAATGAAATACGTATTTCTGTAAGTAAAGCTAGAGAAAAAGTGTAAAGTATGATTTACTAACCACACAAACATCTGCCTGTTTGCAAGAACAGGTTGGGCTGATTAATAACTCCAATTGAGACCGAAGTTTCTCGTCATCGCCGAGAACCTGGTTAAATTTCTTCACAAAATCTTGTGCTTTCCCAGGGTCAGGCAAATTCTCTATAAAATTAAGAGAGAAATCAGTATTAGAGAAGAAGAAGAAAAAAAACTATTTTACTAAGTGAAAAACAGGTGTCATAAAAATATTATGGAGCCATTAAAAGAAAATCAGCCTGATTCTTAGAAATAAAATTAAGATGAAGACTCTTTTATTTTACTTAGCATTAAATCAATAGTCCCATTGGGTAAATAATTTGTCTGTAATGACGTTTATTACATGTTTAGTGAGTAAATAAACATACTCACTTGCTATGGTCATCAGTTTTCCAAACATGGCAGAACAGTTAGCCTCTGACTGAAATTTAAAACAGAAACAAAAGAAAAACTAGTTATATATGTTAACAAATTTCTGTAACAAAAATCAGTACTCATTACTGTACATTTTCCATGAAGTTAAAAAAAAGTTCATCACAATCTGCTCAATGGAAAATGGTTTCACCACATGTATACACTAAATTAACAACAAGGAATTATAAAGTAGCAACTATTAAGACAAATAGAAAAAAGATGTTAGGAGGAAGGTATTTTAAAAATCACAAGTATACAACTTTCATGTGAAAGTTAAATTGCCAGAAGACTGAAAAAAGATCAATGAGGCAATTAACATATAAAATTATCATATCAGAATTACTGTGAAACTACATGCCACAAAAAAGTAAAAATATAAAGTGGAAATTTTGCCTTCTGGAATAGAGTTTTGTTAGTTATTTTGTGGCCCATTACTTAAATATCTTCAAGAAAACTTTCTTTCTAAAATTACTCCCCTTTCCTCTATCCCATATAGCATTATTTTATTATTAGTTTTAATTTATATTAAATTTGAATAATTTAGTTTAAAAGCTAGAAGACCATGCCCTCACAGGCTATCTGTTTTTGTTAATAGTTTTGATGGAATACAGTCATGTCTATTCCTTTACATATCATCTATGACTAATTTTGCAAAGGCAGGATTGAATATCTGACCAGGGACTCTATGCCTCGCAAAATATATGTTTTTGCTATCTATTAATTTTTTTTTTTTAGACAGAGTTTCGCTCTTGTTGTCCAGGCTGGATTGCAATGGCGTGATCTCAGCTCACTGCAACCTCCGCCTCCTGGGTTCAAGTGATTCTCCTGCCTCAACCTCCTGAGTAGCTGGAACTACAGGCATGTGCCACTACGCCTGGCTAATTTTGTATTTTTAGCAGAGATGGGGTTTCTCCATGTTGGGTCAGGCTGGTCTCCAACTCCTGACCTCAGGTGATCCGCCTGCATCAGCCTCCCAAAGTGCTGGGATTATAGGTGTGAGCCACTATGCCCAGCCTCTGTTGATTTATTTTAAAAGTGTGCCAGGCTGGGTGCAGTGTCTCACACCAATAATCCTAGCACTCTGAGAGGCCTAGGCAGGCAGACTGTGTGAGCACAAGATTTTGAGACCAGCCTGGGCAACATGGTGAAAACACACCTCTACAAAAATATACAAAACCTAGCTGGGTATGGTGAAGCACACCTGCAGTCCCAGCTACTCAGAAGGCTAAGGTGGGAGGATCACCTCAGCCCAGTGACATCGAGGCTGCAGTGAGCTGTGATCATACCACTGTGTGACAGCCTGGGCAACAGAATAAGATCCTGTATTTAAAAAAAAAATATATATATATATACCAGCTCCTCTTCCATTACCCATGTGTCCCAGAGAGGTCTGTATATATGATCCCCTGGTTAAGAACACCTATTCTAGTGAATACACTTAAAAATATAAATTTTTCTTCTTCCACTTTGCAAAAACTTGGGGGCATTATTTCTTTTTTAGTTGGCCATTGGCATATTTATAGGATTGATATCTGATACTCACTCTATACTGAGAGACCATGAATCATGCAGTGAAAAAGAAATATGACATCTAATATAATTTCATCTTGAAATTTAATTCTAATTATTTGAAAACTGATTAATTATATATAAACTCTTAGTGTCTGAAAACTTTATATAAACTAGAAAACACTATTTCTTTGCCCAAACTGAAAAATAAGAGTTTGTTATATTCATTTTAAATGGAAATTTAGTTTAGACAACTACAGGAATTATGTTTAACTGACATTTGGAAAATAAAACAAGTGAGATACAATTCTTTGCTTCACTATATAGAACTACAGAAAATCTGAACAATGACTGTAATAAAATATGAATTTAAACAGTGAACCTACTGTAGGCTGCTTGTGCAAATCCAACAGTTCGCGTACATGACTCCGAAGCATGTTCTGACACTTCCACATTTCATTGAGAGCTCTATCAAGTCAGGAATATGAAAAAATACATTATATAACAATACTGGAAATTATTCATATTCGGTTTTACAACTTTTTTTGTGGCATGGTACATATATGTACACCATTCTTCTACATCTACCTAAAAGTTTAAGCACCACAAAATATATCTATTACAATTTAAGAAAATTTAGTACAAATGGTAAATATAAGCCTTTTTATGAGAGAAAATATTTGAGAGGTTTAGAAAGATCAATAGGCAATAAAGAGACTGAAAGATGTTTTAAATACAGGTAGCCAGAAAGTTCTGGTACAAGGAAATATAAAATGTCAATGTGCAAGGGACATATAATATAGCAATGTGAAAAACATACATATATACACATATGCTTGAAGCACAGGGCATATGTGTGAAGCACAAGGAACCTGGAGCATTCCACAGACAGATCAAATCATGAAGGCCTATTATATAGGCTAAGGAGTGTACATGAATCGCTACAGACTATTTTGAGAAATGTAGTATCTTAGGAACGATGCAGATTCAAGATGCCAAATTTACATTATTGTGCTTATTCTAGACTTTTCTCTCTCCAGGAACACAGGGAATCACAAACCCCTCCATATTTCCAGGTGCCCAAATGACCTCTGAGAAATTGCTAATCTTCAAGTACTCTGCCAGTTATTTTGAAATATAAACAAACATCTAAACCTTAAGCCAGGAAAGGCATTAGTAATGGTACAACACTATCTTACAGAATTTCTGCAAAACTGGAAGTCTATTTTTTTTTTTTTTTTGAAACAGTGTCTCACTCTGTTGCCCAGGCTGGAGTGCAATGGCATGATCTCAGCTCACTGCAATGTCTGCTTCTTGGATACAAGCAAATATCCTGCCTCAGCCTCCCTAATAGCTGGGATTACACGCGTGTCCCACCACGCCCAGCCAATTTTTTTTTTTGTATTTTTAGTAGAGATGGGGTTACTGTGTTGGGCAGGCTGGTCTAGAACTGCTGACCTCAAATGATCTGCCCGCCTCAGCCTCCCAAAGTGCTGGGATTACAGGGGTGAGCCACTGTGTCTAGCCTAAAAACGCAGTCTTAATCTACCAACCAGGAACACGTAAGAAGCCGCAATGGCAAACAATCAAAATCCTAACTCAGAATTTTCTCTTTTTGAAGACAGAGTCTCACTATGTTGCCTAGGCTGGTCCAGCTTCTAGGCTCAAGTGATCTTTCCATCTTGAGATCAGAATTCTTAACGACATGATTCATTTACATTGTGTATTTTTGAGAAGAATTATATATACTATGATGTACAACAAGATATATGTATACACTGCAACATTTACTTAAAAAAAAACCTATTAAAGTGAAATGCCCACACATCCTGGTTGGCCTGGGACAGTTTGATTATGCTGGTTATCTGGGCAAAAATATCAACAGTGATCCCTTGTAGTCTGAAAATAATCTAGTTGGATAATCAATCACATGGCCATCCTACATAGAGAAGATCTGAATATATTCACCCAACAAAGAACCAGTATTCAGTTATTAGGCTTCATATTTAGTTTGGAAGTATAGGATAAAGCACCAGTAGTTTCAGACACTAGTCACAAGTATTCTGACATGGTCATTTATTTGAATACCTGAAACCATCCTACTATTGATCCAGCTGCTAAATATGCCTATACATATAAGAGTAAGAATAGTTTTGGTGTTAACTGACCTGAACATAAATCATAATATTTTGTCTATAAATATTTACCTGAGGTTCTTGAATCAAATATAGAAGCGACAACAATCCAACCAATAACAATTAATTAGATAAGATAAAGTTATTTTATGAAATCTTTTGGAAATACAGCAGTTATTTGAAAAGTAACTTACTTTACAGCATTTGGATCCAAACTAGCATATAAGTAATACAAGCATTTCATTCTCTCTTCTGTTTCCAGGTTGTGGGGGACAAGATACTGAGCAAAGATTTTCTCTACCAACAGTCTATGAAACAACAACAACAACAAAAAACTAAGTAACACAATTATTCTATTTTTGAAAAGCAATAGCTTTTTTTTTTTTTTTTAAATAGGGTCTTGGGCTGTTGCCCAGGCTAGAGTACACTGGTGTCATCTCGGCTCACTGCAACCTCTACCTCGCATGCTCAAATGATTCTCCCACCTCAGACTTCCCAGTAGCTAGGACTATAGGTGGGTGTGACCATGCCCGGCTAATTTTTATAATTTTTGTAGAGACAAAGTGTACCTATGTTGCCAAGGCTGATCTGGAACTCCTGAGCTCAGGCAATCCACCCACCTTAGCATCCCAAAGTGCTAAGATTATGGGCATGAGGCACCTCACCCAGCCAATATTTAAAGTTTTAACCATCTTGTGCCAAGATACCATATCAAGATAGTAGCTATGTGTGTACATACAATGGAAGATATCAGTTTATAATGAGTTCCTTCCTTGGAAAACTTTCAGTACAATTTAACTTTAGAGACATGGTTACTACATGTGGCTTTATAATTTGTCAGTATAAAACATTTGTTCCAGAATAGTTAAATGCTATTCCTAAACACATGGTGACAGGCTGTTCCGCCTATTCTTCAGCAGTCTACAGCAATAGCAAACTCATTAATGCAACATATAAAGCTATGATCTGCAGTACAGCTAATTCTTAAGAAACTCATTAATTTCCTCTGATTACCATTTGGTCCATTTCCCATGTTGTCACATAGTTAAAAATGGGGAATCTTCCTTTATATCACTTCCTGAAAATATAGATTTTCCTGTGTACATTTCATCTTTCTTCTCTCCACAATCTAAATGCCTTACCAATATTGGGATATCCTTCTTGCTAGTATCTATTGCTTATATCTATCATTCAATATTACTGGATTAAGAATATATGAGGTCTCTTCACTAACAAATACATATCCAGTGATGCTAAAGAAGTCAGTCTAATTAAACAAAACATTGGAAACTATTTTGCACAAACCAAGTATCATTAGTATGATCCAATATAGAATTATTATTATTATTTTCTGAGATTGGGTCTCGCTCTGTTGCCCAGGCTGGAGTAAAATGGAAAGATCTTGACTCACTAAAACCTCCACCTCCTGGGTTCAGGCAATTCTCCTACCTCAGCCTCCCGAGTAGCTGGGATTATAGACAGGCGCCACCACACCTGGATAATTTTTTTGTATTTTTAGTAGAGATTGGGTTCATCATATTGGCCAGGCTGGTCTTGAACTCCTGATCTTGTGATCCGCCCGCCTCAGCCTCCCAAAGTGCTGGGATTACAGACGTGAGCCACCACGCCCGGCCTCCAATAAAAAATTATAAGTAATATTCAGAAAATGAAAACAACTTAGTAATTCCTCTATTGGTGGTGGTGTAAAAAGGAAAGTAACTAGCAGTTAATTGAATAGTGCTCTATTGCCACACATTGGGCTAGGATGCTTTACGTTCATTATTTAATCTATATGACAATCCTGTAGAAAAGGCATTATTTTTGCTTTTTATATAAAACTGAAGTGCACAAGAAATTAATGAACCTGTGTAAGAGTACACATCTAATAAAGGGCAGAGTGAACATTTGGTCTCAGTTCTGACTCCAAAGACATGCCTATTTCACTATTATACGGCTACCTTCTAATCGTGGAGAGTCTTGTTTAAACATAAGATTAAAAAAAAAAATGTAAAAAGTTATCTCTAAACTTGTGAACTATTAATCAAGTTGAATTAAGTTTATTTTATGAAGTAAAAACATAAAAATAAGTTACTAAAATATTAAAGACATTTTTAAAAGTAGTTTTATACTCAACCATTCTATCAACATATTAAACTCACTTGTCGTCAATGCTGTTCTGATAATAAATATGCAAAAGTTTGTCCTTTATCCAGCTGACTTTCTCTGCAGCTTCCTTTCCTGCTTCACCATGAAGACAGTATTTCTTATAAAGCTGAGCCAGACCCATCATAGCTTCTTTTCTTACTCGCCACTAAAAAGCATAAAATTAATTAGATGAGCAAGATACCAAAACTTTGTACAAATCTCTAAAGATTGCCTTGGCTTCATTAGGTTGTACAGTCTTATGTGTATCTTTATAAACAGGCAAACTATTTCTTCTCACAAGAGGCTTTAAAAACAATTTTGAATCTGTTCCTATTTAGAAATTTTCCAATGCAAATATTGCTAAATGATCTACCTTTTTCTTTTTAAACAAATGGGGTTTTGTTATGTTGCCTATGCTGGTCTCAAATTTCTGGGCTAAAGTGATCCTCCTGCCTTAGCATCCTGAGTAGCTAGAGTGACAGGTTACTAATTTTTTATTTCCCTTGAAACTCAGTAATAATCTTAAGGGAGATTTCATTTGATACTGAAAGAAAATTCACCAAGTTTTAGAAGTGATTATAATTCCCCTTGCAAACAAAAGCCCTATTATCTGGAATGTTTTATTTGCCAGTTACATCCCTTTAGATGTTAACTTAGGATAAGAACAAAATTGACTATCAAGAATTCTGGGCCGGGCACAGTGGCTCACACCTGTAATCCCAGCACTGTGGGAGGCTAAGGCAGGTGGATCACTTGAGCTCAGGAGTTGGGGAACTGACTACCCAGTGAATCTAAAATACTACTGAATCTAAAATTGTAGTGAATCCAAGAGTTGAGCTGGCTGACTACCCAGTGAATCTAAAAATAAGCTCACCAAGCTGACAAGAGCTGCCCACTCACACAGAGCATCCAATCAGCTGTGCAGTGATTCAGTTAAAAATTTGACCAAGGGGGGGCACAGTGGCTCACACCTGTAATCTTAGTACCTTGGGAGGCCAAGGCAGGTGGATCACCTGAGGTCATGAGTTCAAGACCAGCCTGGTCAACATGCTGAAACCCCATCTCTACTAAAAATACAAAAATTAGCTGAGCATGGTGGTGTGGGTCCATAATTCCAGCTACTCAGGAGGCTGAGGCAGGAGAATCACTTGAACCCAGGAGGTGGAGGTTACAGTGAGCCGAGATTGCACCACCGCACTCCAGCCTGGGCCACAGAGTGACACTCTATCTCAAAAAAAAAAAAAAAATTTCAAGCATCATCAGATCTTTGAGGAAAGGTTTCAACAGTAAAGAAAGGGACCAAAACAAATAGGCCAGAGGAGGAAAACAGGACTCAGTGCAAACAGAGATAATACAGGCAATAGAAGACACTTTCAAATATTCTCAGGGAGATAAGATTTTACACCATAAAATAAGACTCAGTTCCTCTGAGGAAGAAAGGAAGGAAGGAAGGTAGGGGGAGAGGCAGGGAGGAAAGGAGGTAAGAAAAAAGCACGGAAGAAGAAAAGGAAATAAAAGAGGGAAGAAAAAAGAGAAAGGAGACAGAAGAAGAAAGTAATATAGAAAAATTAATGATTCAACCTGAGGAAACTAATTTAAAAAGAAAAAAATGAAGAAAAATTAGATAATGAGAGGTGCTTCTGGAAATTAAAAATGTAAATGAAGTAAAAAAAAAAAAAAGATTAAAAAATTAAACTATCAGTCCAAGAATTTCAACATCAAATTAAAGAGCTCCCAAAAGAGAGAAGAGGATCAAGCCTGTAATCCCAGTACTCTGGGAGGCGGAGGTTGAAGCAGGCAGATTCCTTGAGCCCAGGAGTTCAAGACCAGCTTGGGCAACATGGTGAAACCCCGTCTCTACAAAAAATACAAAAATTAGCGAAGTGTAGTGGCGCACACCTGTAGTCCCAGCTACCTGGGAGACTGAGGTGGGATGATCACTTGAGCCTGGGAAGAGGAGGTTGCAGTGAGCCGAGATTACACCACTTCACTCTAGCCTAGGCAACAAAAAATGAGACCCTGTCTCAAAAAAAAGGACCTTAGTGATCACCGTAAATGAATTTCCTTACATTGCAAACCTAAAAGGCAAATGATTTATCTAGTTAGCAGAAGACTCTGAGACTTTTAGAGGTTGGGAAGGTTTAATAGGGTTGGAAAGAAAGGTTGTGAGAGAAGAGACAAGAAAAAGAGACCATGAAAAGTTAGAATGAGGACCATCAGAAGATATAAGAAAAATAATAGTGAAAAAAGATATCCGTGTTTAAAAAAAAAAAAAGAAAAAAGAAGCTGAGTGTGGTGGTGGGTGCCTGTAGTACCAGCTATTCAGGAGAATGAAGCAAGAAGATCACTCAGATCCAAGAGTTCAAGTTCAGCCTGGGTAACATAGTTAACACACCACCTCTAAAAAAGAGGGGTGAGTGGGAGTATATTATCTTTGGTATATTTAAGTCAACAATTCTTTATAATTTTTTTTGTTAACATTTTCTCATTTTTAGGCCACTTATTAGATGGAATAAAACTTTGTTCCTATATAACAGGTTAGCAAAAGTCTTTTGACATTTCTTAAATGAAATTTAAAAAAAAAAGAACAATAAAATCTTAAGATTAAATCCTGTTCCCAAATTTCAAGAGAAAAAATAAATTTTTTCCAGAAAAGCTATAAACAAGTTCATCTAACTTATTAAACTAAAATCCAGGTCAGAAAATATCGTACAATTTCAGTTAGGTAGATTCATTTATTCAACTTTCTGAAGCTATGAAAAAACTTTAATAGTAGTGAAATTTTTTTTAAAGGGGGAAAGGAAGAATGCCAAATAACCACTAGGGGGAGAGTCATTTCATTTAAACTAAAGCCAAGGGAAAAGAAATCTTCCAAAGTTAGAATTACTAACACTGTTGAACAAGTTAAAAAGGTATCCACCTTTTTTTAAACATTTACATCCTATAACAATTTTAAAAGTTAAAAATTAAAGAATGCCTCTTGCTATATTGTAAAATCACAACCAATTACTTTTCTACCCTGAAATTATAATATTCAGTTGCAGAGGAAAGTAATTTTCAACTACAACTCTAATAAAATAACAGCATGTTGCAAGGCAATCATGAAACATGTGAGAAAGATACCTAATCAGCCTGCCTTACACTTCTTTCTCTTGTTTACAGTTGACCCTATTCCTTAGTAGTGTTCTTAGTACTATTTTTCCTTATCAATCTATGTTTTTAACTGCCTCAAATGGGGAAAATCAGAGGAAAAATAACTAAACACATAACCATCACTATTGTCCTTAGCTTGGGTTATTAACATGTAAACATGACTTTCTAAGAAAGTGATATTCTTTAGTTCAATGAATGACAGACCTAGCTAAGTTATACAAGAAAATCATACTTGAAAATGTTAATTGTAAGAGTAGACAATCAATTGCTATTCTTCTGAAACTCATCATGTAAGTAAAAAGGTAAAATTTTGATTGACTTAGTGGTTCTCTCATAATGGTACGCTAGAAAAAAAGCCCATGCTTAAGATATCAAAAGCTATAGAATACAATGTATGTATTCATAAGGATAATTAAAAGATATACAGGAGACACACAAATTAGGAGCTCTTTATCATTGTTAATTTGATTTTCACACAGAAAGACATTAAATTTAATAGAAAATGACACCAATTATATTTAGCAATTTAAACACAGTAAATTACATAAGAATAAAATGCCTCAGATTTTACCCGTTTATCCAGTGTTCTTTCCCTTACAAAGCCAAGCAGCTGATCATTTACTAAGGCCAGGTCTCTCTTGGCTGCTGTTATAATAGTAACAATGACATCATGACGAATAGCTTCTTCTGGATCATGTGATCTAACCTTTAAATATTCTGTAATAACAGAAAAAAACTTAGGCCAAATGTTAGCTATGTAATTTAGGTAATTTGTCATGATTCATAACAGCAGAATAGAACAGAAATACATGAAGTATTTGTCCATACTAAAGCCATGTTGGTAAAATGCGGCATGAAATTAAATTACTTTATTTTTACAGCAACAGTACTCTACTGTAATCACAAAACTGCACTTAGAACTCTAAAGTTGGCCAGGTATGGTTGCTCACAACTGTAATACCAGCACTTTGGGAGGCTGAGGCAGGCAGATCACACAAGCTCAAGAGTTCAGACCAGCTTATTCAACATGGCGAAACCCCATCTCTATCAAAATTAAGAAATAAAACTCATTAGCCAGAGTTGTGGTGGCCCGCCCCTGCAGTGCCAGCTACTTGGGGTGCTAAGGAGGATCACTTGAGCCCAGAAGTCAAGGCTGCAGTAAGCCGATTATCACATCACTGCACTCTAGTCTCGGTAACAGAGTGAGGCCCTGTATCAAAAAACAAATAAAATAAAATAAAAATTTCTCCGCAGGCACTTTCTCACTAAAAAAGAAAAAAAAAAGAAAAACAAGAAAATAAAACTTCATAGTTACATCTTTTTTCTTTTTTGAAACAGAGTTTCACTCTGTCACCCAGGCTGGAGTGCATCAGAGTGACCTCAGTGCACTACAACCTCCGCTACCCAGGGTTTTAAGCAATTCTCACGCCTCAGCCTCCAGAGTAGTCGAGATTACAGGCATCTGCCACCATGCCTGGTTAATTTTTATATTTTTAGTGGAGACGGGGTTTCACCATATTGGCCAGGCTGGTCTTGAACTTCTGGCCTCAAGTGATCCACCCACTTTGGCCTCCCAATGTTCAGGGATTACTGTCGTGAGCCACCATGCCCGTAGTTACATTTAACAATGTATTTTCATCGGTTATCCTAGAAAAGTCAACTGACAATGCAGTATCTATGTCAGTTTGAATTTCAGTTACAAATAAAAAGACTTTAAAGAAAAACTGAAAATGTTTACGGCAATTTAGGTGATAGGCACATACCTGCAAATTATACAATATAAAATCTGGAATATTTTAGAAACTCTTCAAAAATTCTTAAGTAATTTATAATACAAACTAAATCTAAACAAAGAAAATGTTATTTTTTTTTGGTAAATAACAACCAATTGACAGAAATCACTTATGTGCTGCTACCAAATAGGTAGATTTAAATGCTCTAGGTTCAAAAAAGCGAAAAATTCTAGTCTACTGCAGAAGACAATCACATTCTCACTTATTACTAAATGCTACTATATTTAATTATATACACATAATGATTTCTACCCGAATCTAATGTCTTGGCAAATACGTTACTTCCTTAAATTATGTTTCTCAAAAAATTTCATAAGATTTTAAGCTAGGCATTCATTGTGGCACCCGTCTGTAATACTCAGGAGGCCGAAGTGAGAGATCACTTGAGCCCAGGAGTGAGAGTCTGTCTCTTAAAATAAATAAATAAAAAGATTTTAAATGTAATTTTATTACATGAACAAGAAATCATTTCTTAGTGCACAACAAATGAAAACCTGAGACCATACCAGAGTAAAAACCTATTTGGAAAGTGAAGTTAGGTCACAAGCAACATCTACAATATGGTTGGGTGATTATGCTAATATTTGTAATAAACCAGCTAGCTTACCTGTGAGATCCTTTGCTAAATCTGGGTGATTCATTAAACAATGACTGGCAAATTTCACACTTTCTAATCTCACAGGAACATGAATGTCATTAAATCTACATGGAAAAACATTGCTAAATATTAATTGTAAGGCAAAATAATTCTCAAAGGAGGTATATCTAACATGAAAATGCTTACAAACAGCAACAGTTACTGATTAGAAATTTGTTATGAGTTAAGGTATTCTGAAGAAAGAATATAAAGTACACTATAAGGTGAAAAGACACAATTTCATTAATATATTTTAACAAACAGAATTTTTTTACCATGCTAAAACAAACAGTATAAACAAACACGTACCTCAACCCAAACTACATGCTTTATGGAGCTAAAATCTGAGAGCTTAATATTATGCTACAAAATAAAAAATATTCAAAACACACAAAATCTGCTTGAAGAATAAGTTTATAGGAGATTCCAGGCCTGGTGGCTGACGCCTGTAATCACAGCACTTTGGGAGGGGGAGACAGGTGGACTGCTTGCACCCAGGAGTTCAAGACCGGTCTTGGAAACATGGTAAAACTTTGCCTCTATAAAAAATACAAAAATTAGGCAGCCATGGTGGCATGCCCCTGTAGTCCCAGCTACTACTCAAGAAGCTGAGGTGAGTGGATTGCTTGTGCTCAGGAGTTCAAGATCAGTCTTGAAAACACAGCAAAGCCCTGCCTCTACAAAAAACACAAAAATTAGCTGGGTGTGGAGGCACTGCCCTGATGTGTCAGCTACTCGGGAGGTTGAGGCGGAAGGACTGCATGAGCCCAGGAGGTCAAGGCTGCAATGAGCCATAATTGTGCCACTGCACTCCAAGCTGGGTAACAGACCCTGTCTCAAAACAAAACAAGACAAAAGATTTATATGAGACAAACGCTGGGGAACTTAAGGTAAAAAGCAAACCATATATAAAAAGCAGATCCAGAAGTTCAAAGATGAGGGCAGAAAATGTGTGTTACTAGCTGGGTGTGGCAGTGGGTACCTGTAATCCCAAATACTTGGGAGCCTGAGGCAGGAGAATCACTTGAACCCAGGAGGCAGAGGTTACAATTAGGAGAGAGAAAGCCACTGCACTCCAGCGTGGGCGACAGAGTGAGTCTTCATCTCAAAGAAAAACCCAAAAAAACAAAAAATGTGTTACACTGCCTTACCACATAAGTTTCTTTTTTGCCAGCACCAACTAGTATTATAATGCTTGCTTTTTTTTGTTTGTTTTTTTGAGACAGAGCCTTGCTCTGTCACCCAGGCTGGAGTGTAATGATGTGATCTCTGCTCACTGCAACCTCCGCCTCCCAGGTTCAAGCAATTCTCAAGCCTCAGCCTCCCACGAAGCTGGGATTATAGGTACACACCAACATGCCCTGTTAATATTTGTATTTTTAGTAGAGATAGGGTTTCACCATGTTGGCCAGGCTAGTCTTGAACCCCTGGCCTCAAGCAATCTGCCCACCTCAGCCTGCCAAAGTGCTAAGATTACAGACTTGAGCCACTGCAGCCAGCTTACAATGCTCTTTTAAAGGTCTAGTATACTATAGGAATTCAATTAACATGAAACACAATACCTAAACTCAAAGCTGCAAATGTTAAGGATAAGGTAAGGAACTCTCAAATTTAAAATAGACTGATTGATGAATAATATGATCTGAAATAGCTGGAAATATTTTTATTTTTGAAATAATCTCATAAAATAACCAAGTAAACAAACGTTTTTAAATAAATGTCTTAATATCTATGAGATCCTACTTTATTACCGATATAATTTTCATGCATTAATAAAATCTTGAATTTAGGATTTATAATTCTCTAGCTGGTAGACAAAAATTATACATTATTAATGATCAAGTAATTACAAAGTATCAAAACACTTAATGATATAATTACAGAAAATAATGCTGCAGAATCAGAGACATTACTACAAGTTAGCAGTGAATGTAAAATAACAACTGTCAGAAACCTCTTATGGGTGATTTCATTTTTATAAGTAATATTTGATGTGTATCCTGGGAATTCCCTATCCCAGGATGAATATCAAATATTTATTGTAAATCATTTAAGCAAGATGATTCCCACCATTCAAAATTCTCATGGAGTCACATTTAGTTATTTAAATATTCAGCATTTATTCTACTAAGACCTTCAAAATGGCATGTTCTGGGCAAGTAACTCCTAAGATAGCATTATAGCATTGTCAGACATTTCTCAGAACCTAGGATTAGTAAGAGATTATGGTGAATTTACTTCAAGAAAAATTCTGGCACCAACTTCTAAATCAGTTGAACTAAACAATGGGGAATCTGAAATATCTCCAGAATATTAATAGTAAATATCTACTTTACAATCAGCTTTTGAAGCAAAACAGGTAAATGGAATGCAAGGAGGAATTTAATACATTTCATAAATTTGTCAACACTACCATCAAGCCAAATAGAATTCAGTCACTCTAAGCTCTTGACAAGAAACATTAAAAACTACCTGAGTTGGCCGGGCATGGTGGCTCACACTTATTATCCCAGCACTTTGGAAGGTTGAGGTGGGTGGATCACCTGAGGTCAGGAGTTGGAGACCAGCCTGGCCAACATGGAGAAACCCCGTCTCTACTAAAAATACAAAAATTAGTCAAGGGGTGGTGGTAGGTGCCTGCAGTCCCAGCTACTTGGGAGTCTGAGGCAGGAGAACTGCTTGAACCCAGGAGGCAGAGGTTGCAGTGAGCTGAGATTGAGCCACTGCATTACAGCCTGGGTTACAGGGCGACACTCTGGCTCAAAAACAACAACAACAACAACAACAACAAAATCTAAGGGCAACATTTTCCATTTAAAAATCATAAAATTATACCAAACTAGTTAAAACACATCATACAATGTGTGCAGGTAAGTTACGGACCCAAAAGACAAGCATGAATAAATGGAAAAGTTGGTAAGCTGGCAAATGGCACAGATTCTTAAAATTTGATCAGTATGTATTTAGTTTCATGATTTAAAAATCTTAAGACTTAGAATATCAGCTGGGCCTGGTGGCTCATGCCTGTAATCCCAGCACTTTGGGAGGCCGAGGCAGGCAGATCATGAGGTCGAGAGATCCGAGACCATCCCGGCCAACATGGTGAAACCTCATCTCTACTAAAAAATATAAAAATTAGCTGGACGTGGTAGCACGCGCCTGTAGTCCCAGCTACT